CTCGCGCGCCCGCCCGCCAGGCTCCCAGCGCCCGCCGCCCGCGCCCGGCCCGGCGCCCCGGCCCTCCCGCGCTTCATGGCTGCGCTGGAATGGGACTGGTTCCAACGCGAGGAGCTCATCGGACAGATCAGCGACATCCGAGTCCAGAACCTGCAAGGTAACGCGCCCCAGCCTCCCCGGAAAGGAGCGCCAGATCGGGGTCGCCCCGGGAGCTGCTCCCACACTCTGCAACCGCGACCCGCGCCGCCCCCTGCCCCGTCCTGACCCCGTTCTTCCTGTCCCTTGAGAGGGGAAGGTGGCGTTGAGACACCCGCCCCCAAACCCCAGCATCGCCGGCCCAGGCCAGATCGCCCAGGGGGTAGAGCGGCACACGTGTGTGGGTGTGGGTGGGGGGTCCCCATTTTCTTTGCGGGGCGTCACGACTCCCCTGCAGCCACAGCTGCGAGTTTGGAGAAGTTTGTACGTGGGCTCTTGGGGGCGGTGGCCCAGGTCACGGCGGGGAGGAGAAAGTGCGACTGCGTGTGCGAGTGTGTGAATTCGCACACTTCCTAAGTACCTCGGAGGCTAGGGGAATTGAATGGGGACGGCGCCTCGGGGTGGGCTGGGGAGAACCGGGCCAGGGGCGCCGATCAGTGGGGTCAGGAGGGCACCCAGCCCAGGTTGGCAGCCTTCCTTCAGCTGCTGCTCCTCCCCCGGCCCGGAGCTAACCTGGGGAGAGGGAGAGAAGCCCCGCCTGAGACCAGGTGAAAGAGAAACTCAGGTGCTAGCGCGTCTGAAAAGGGCTATGGGTGGCTTCCGCCACAGATGAAGTGTATTTACCTTTCAAATGAGTTTATTCATTGTGGAAACTTACCACAAAAAATATTTAAAGGGAAAACGCCACCCACAGTTAACCCCTAACCCAGAAAGCTGCTTTTCTTTGGAGGTGTATTTCCAGCCTCTTTTCATATGTGAAGTTTGCAGAACTGGACAGAGTTCCACTTCCGGCCTCTCTTAAGTACATGGACCTGGGCAGGGGAAGTTTCTGTAGGAGAAGCTAGGGTTTCTACAGATTCCAGGGCTGTGGGCGGCTCAGAGAGAACTGGAAGGCCTGGACAGAGCAATGATGGGTCTGTGGGAGGCCCCGCCCCCAGCAGTTGCCATGCCTTTGCTGCTGGAGTCAGGGAGCCCCAGCAGGCAGTGTTCAGTCTAGGGGGTGGCCTAACAGTCAAGTTTAAACATTACACTGGATGGAATGTTTCCTGGGAGCCCACGTGGACCTGCTTCACCCTAGGTTGGGCAAGGACAGTGCGGCCAAAGGTGACCTGGAGAGGGAGCCTAGTGCAGTGGCCACTGGAAACAGTTTGCCCTGGACTCTGCTGATCTCTTCTGGTTATGATTTGTGTAAAAGGAGGAGGATCCAGCCGGAGAGATTGAAAATGATCCCTTTTGATAATAAGCCTCATGCCTGGATCCTGTTACCCGAGAACTGACAGCCTATTTGGGGGTGGGCATTAGTGTCTTTTGCTGAGATGGCGTCTGGTTTGGGCTTCAGGGTGTGTGTGTGTGTGTCTTAGGCAGTCACTGGGTGTTTAATAAACGCACACTGACCAACTCTTATTGCAACAATTTCCTGTATTCCTTTAGGATCAGCTCCCAGTGTCAAGGAGATCAACTTTGGTGAAGGGGTGCTCAACAATGTGAGCAGTTAGTTCCACCTAGAACTGTGAGAAAAGGCTTCACCACATGGGGATCATTTGAGATGGCCCTAAAGGTTAGGTAGGAGTTCACTGAGTGGGAGCCTGTCTCTTAGCTGCCAGTGAACTGTCCACACTTTTAGGCAATGCCAGTGACGATGTGCGCGTCAAAGGTTTTGCCAATCAAAAAAGTAAACTTCTAAATGTATGTGTATGTATCATGTATATATAGCTTATATATGATTCCACATACGTATGTAAAATGCATTCATCTTAAATGCAAGCCCAACACATTTTTACGGATGGATATGGCTGTGTAACCATCACCCAGACCAAGAAGATGTAAAAGATTTTCGGTGCCCTGGATGGGTGCGTCACCACCCTTCCAGCACTAATACCCCCCAACACTCGCAAGACAACTACTGCTGTGATCTTTATTACTATAGTTTTGCCTCTAGAACTTTACATAACATTGACTTGAACAGCACGTATTCTTTTAAACTGGCTTCTTGTTCCAGAAGTGGTGTATCAGTACTTCCTTTTAGAGGGAGAGGCGATAAAGCAACTGAGGTGTTATATACACATCATAAAATTCACCTGTTTCAAGTTTACAATTCAATACTTTTTAGTAAATCTACAGAGTTGTGCATATATCACACCAGTCCAGCTTGGGCACATTTTCATGATCTGTAAAAGACCCCTAGTGCCCAGAATATGCATCAGTGTCAGCTCCGAGCCTTGGACCCAGGAGTAGTTCTTAGCAATAAGCTGACCACCGTTCCATCCTACGGTCATACCACAGTTAATCTGTTCATCCATGAGAGATGTTTGGGTTGTCTGCAGTTTGGGGCCATTGTGAGTGAATGAAGCTGTTAGTCCTGGGGGGATCCCAGCCCGGCATCATCGCGTAGAAGATGCTGGGAGAGGAGGTAGGGCAGCAATCTCTCTTCTCTCGCGCGCTCCATTTTTCCCTTGGCTTCCCTGTCTCTTGACTGGATGCTGAACAGACATTCTCTCTCGTTGTCTCCATGGTACTCAGGAAGTCCCAACCAAAGGGCAAGTCTAGAAGGCACCCCACAACCCTGCCCAGAGCATCTGCCCAAACCAGCTGGTGGTTGTTGCCTGGCCCTGACGGTCTGGATGATCAGCTCTGCAGGCCATGGGCGGGGGCCTCGTCCGTCTGAACTTGGTGTGGGTGGTGGTAAGGGAGACAGAAGGAGCCCAGGCCGAAGGGTTGTTTGTTAAACTGGGAGCTTGCTTTGAGCACAGGCAGTCACAGTTGTAAGCGACGGGAGGCTGGGTACAGAGGGGCTTCATGAATCTGGAATCGTAGGGACTGACAAGGAGTCCCAGCCCTCGTGTGCTGATGGCGGCTGCCGTCATGGTCAGGCAGTCCTGATTCTTTTCAGGAGGTTTGACTCTCGTGGTCCTGGGTGGGACCAGGTGCTTCCAGGGTCGGTCGTGAGGACACAGCAATTCAGGGAAGAATGGTTCAGTAACACACCTATATCTTTACATCTTTATATGTTTACGTTAACTCGGAGGTATGTTGACCCCTGCTCAGTCACCCATCTGCAGCCTTTATCTATGGTCCTGACTGTGGGATCCTGGAACCTGTGCAGATACAGTTGTGATGGGGCCAGACCATTCCCCAGGGACTGTTGGAATAAAGACCTCCTGGCCTGTGTTTGAGGTTAGGAGAGCCAGGCAGATAGCATGGCCGCTCACAGGTGTCACGCACCTTGCTGTTCTGACACATGGGCAGACAAGTCCCGGTTGACATGTCCCCTGTGATGGTTCATCACAGTGTTTGTAAATGAGGATCTCTCTGGCAGAGTGCATGGATGTCCCTCTGGGCAAAGGCTGTCTGGGCCACCCTCACAGCGTCCCTTGCAAGGAAACGGGGATGACCTGAGATGTTGACCTTTTCAGAGAGGAGAAAATGGAATTGCAGGATTGGCAGCCTCCACTTGGTGGCCCCTGCTTCCTTGGAGCAACGTGGGGCACAGTCGAGGACAGGCAGTTGTGTAATGGGTCTGTGACATGTTCCCTGCCTGTGGGCAGCAAGGGCTCCAGTGCCTCTCTGATGACAAGGCTACTTTGGCTGTCCCCTCTCCCTCTTTCACTTGGCTGTAGGGTCCAGTTGAATGCTCCACTAGTTCTGGGGTCACTTGACTGTTGGTCAAAGGTGGGGGGGGTCAGGAAGATACTCCTGTTTCTGTAAAAAGCCTCCGCCACCCCCCAAATTCACAGGCCTTTTCTGTTCACTTCAGGACACATGCGCTAAGCATATAACATCGTGCAGACATCCGGGAAGGTAACGTTGGTCCTTGTCCCTGCCTTCAAGGAGCGTGAAGCCATTGTGGGCACCCAGCCAGAGCAGGGCTGGAATTTTCTGCTTCTGGCAACACAGACATTGGGTCAGTTTGGGGCAGTTTCCTGTCGCCTTGGCGCCTGTTCTGTCTGATGCCGTGAACCTTGAACTCCTTGATCCGGAGCACGCAGAGCTGGAGGAGGATGGAGTTAGGTGGGACTAGGCAGACGGCTTCTCTGGGGGAACCAGGTGTGTGTGTGGGGTGTCCACCACTGCCAGCTGAATCCTGCTGGCTGGTGCTCCCTGAGCAGCCCCCCCACACACACACCCCGCCCCAGTGTCCATTGGAATTCGTTAAGAAGCAGGACCGTCCAGATTAGCACATAGGAACTGCGGTGGTAGCAGTTCACCTGAGAGAGAACAGCCTATGTGCCCCATTAACTGTTTCCTTTCGTGGTTTCCACAAGCCTTTGAGGTATGTGCTTGTTTTAGAAGTGGAGATGAAATGGTCCCTCCATGACCTAAGGTCAATGAGCTTGTAAGTGGAGCTGGGATTTGAACTCAGGCCAGACTGCGCCCATGCACTCGCTCTGTGAATCATGCAGAGTTGCTGGTAGCCTCATGGCTGGGAACTGGGAAGGCCTCTCAGAAGAGGGGGTGTTAGAATTGGACCTTGAGGGCTGAGCAGCAACTTGTCCGCAAGTATTTGTCATTGTGCTGGCGCTAAGGAAAGTGGTGGGGATAGCCCGAAGGCAAGCTCAGGCAGAGGTGCCTGTGTGGGCAGAAAGGTCAGCCTTGGCCGAGTTATCCACTTCCTCCTTGCGTTCCCCTGGCTGGACCCAGGCGCAGGCCCTCCTCAAGTCAGCCTGAACCCGCGAGTAACCTCTTCCCCACTTGGGGCCTTGCAGGACCTCCTCCAGTCTACCCACCACCCAGCCACCCAACACACGTCCCTGCTAAATTCTTCATCAGGTCTCCGTGGCCAACCTGTGGCCCCCGGACCAATAGCATCATTGTCTACAAATGTCAAGATGTGAATAAGGTTGGGCTGCACTGGCATAGAGGATCAAGTCCAAGCCCCGTAGCCTGGCACACCTGTGGTCTTATTGGGGGTGCCACACCAGCCTCCTCTCCCACAGCTACCCACTCACTCCCTGCACCCATTAC